TTCTTTAATTCTGTTTTTGAGGGAAGATAGGGTTGCTTTTATTTCTCTTCTGCAATATCCTGTTCTTCCTTATGAGGATCTTCTGACTTTGTTCACTTTTCAGATTGGAGCATAGGTTGCAATCTGTACTTTTTGCAGTTTTGAGGTTTAATTGAGAGGGAAGCTGTGGTTCAGAATGTTGATTCTAGCATCCATGAACAGGTGTATGAGCACACTGGAACCTATTTCCCTCTGCCTTACAATCTGTCCATTCAGCAGTATGAAGTCTTGGTCCCTAGATTAAAAAGGGGGGTATAAAAGAGGAAAATAATGGAGGAAGGGAGGGTCAATAGGGAGTTAGAAAGAGAGAAGAGCGAGAGGGAAAACAGATATACATACCGACTATCAGGTGAGAAAGAGACACAAGGCCGGGAAGAAGTGAAGAAAGACACGTAAGAAAGATTCCCTAAAGAGTACTGATAGCTGCACAGAGACCGGCCAATAAAATCAAGAAACAGTGTAAGTCAGAAGGCAAACAACAAACGTGATCAAAACCAACAGTTACAATGATAAAATCATAAGTCAAAATAAGTGATCAAACTAAAGTCACTTCTCTGATCTCTGATTCCAACCTCTTCCCTTTGTTTTTTGTTGCAAGCGTAGGGGTGGGGCTTTGTCTCCTGTTTCGCGCTGTTGCCTTAGGAACTGAGATAAAGTTTGTTGATAGGTGAGCAGGGCAATGGAAGTCTCTGCCTGGAGAATGGCGAGGCAGTTTCTGCAGATCTGTTTTTCTCCGCTTGTCTGGGTCCCCCAGCTTGGGGTCTCGCTCTGAGTGCCTCAGCCAGGGTGGGCCCAGAGTTCCAGAGCTCCGAAACTCCAAAGGGCAGGTGGTGAGCAGCAAGAGTGGCCCTGGGCCCCCCACAGGGTACTTCAGGCAGGAATGGGACCGGTGTCCCTGAGGGGCGGGCACCCAGAGCCTCCCTGAGTGACCGGCGGCTTGGTGCCGGGTGCCGGGCTGGAGACGATGTAGCCAGGGAGGGAGCTGGGAGGGGGCTGGGACCCAAGACTCCCACCCATGCAGTGGAACAGCAGCCGCAATATCTGGCCCTGTGTGGGACTGAAGGTCCCCGGGCCTCACACCAGTGCGGCTGGTGGTGGGCTGGGGGATGGGGAAAGAGAAGTAAGAGTCTTTTTGGGAATTCACGTTCAGAGAATCTCACAAGTTCACCTATGCCGTTGCTATCTTGTTCCCGTCTCCCATTAAGCATATTTTAAAGAGCAGAAGAACAGAAGTAAATACCCAGATATTTACCTTTTTTTTTTGAGTTGGAGTCTCACTCCATTGCCCAGGCTGGAGTGCAGTGGCACGCTCATGGCCACCCCAGTGTTGACCTACTGGGCTCCATTGATCCTTCCACCTCAGCATCCCAAGTAGCCGGAACTATGGGCATCCCACCACATCTGGCTAATTTTTAAATTTACTGTAGAAAGGAAGTCTCAGTCCAGACTGATCTTGAACCCGCAGGCTCAGGTAATCCTCTTGCCTTGGCCTTTCAAAGTGCTGGGATTACAGGCTTAAGCCACCACGCCTGGCTATATTTACCATTATTTTGCTCTTCTTTCATCTTTAATGAAAACTATATCACAGGATATTGATTTCTGGATGAACAGTTCTTTTCTTTCAGCACTTTAAAGTGTTGTACCACTTCCTCTGGACACCATGGTTTCTGATAAGAAACCCACATTACCTTGATATCTCTTTTCTATAGGTAATTGGTTCTTGGTGTTAGATCATTTTCAAGATTTTTTCATTGTCTTTAGCTTTTAGCAGTTTGATTATATGTTTGGCCTTATTTATTTAGTTAATTTTGTTTAGGGTTCACTGGGTTTGGGTCTGCAGGTTTATGTCTTTTGCCAAATATGGGATGTTTTCAACTATTATTTCTTCACACACAAAGGGATGTAGGTGATTGCTCTGGATACCTTTCATTTGCCTCATCAGATATATTTTCCACCTTTCTCCTGCCTGCTTTGTGCCCCAAAGAGGTATCTTAAATGGATCATGTCATTGGTTTCTCATATCCTATAGCTTCCTTTGGGTTTGCCCAATGAGAAACACTGGCAAGAGATCAGAGGGAGGTAGCTTGGGTATTTATTCTCCAGGATACTTTGCTGAAAGGTGATCTCAGACCTACTCTGTCTCTCTAGGGAATGTGACAGCTCAAATCAAGCACTATCTTCAACAGCTTTCTGTCTCTGGAACAGAGCAATTGCTCCATTCCTCATCCTTTGGGCCTTTGGGTGATGGTACTCTCCTGATCCACTTTAGTTTCTAATCCCAGTGTGGTGCTGTTTCTTATAGTTCCTTATACCTTGCTGACATCTTTGTAAATAATTCCTTTATTAAACACTTATCAAATTATCCCCTATGTGTGTGCTGTTTATTTCTGCTTGGACCCTGACAGAGTAGCTTTTTTAGGGGGCCATTATTAGCCTTACTCCGTCATCCCTCCATTGCTGAGTACCCTGCAGTGGACAGCTGTCTCCCATTGGTCTTCCAGACTTTTGAGCCTTTGATCCTTTCTTCATGATGGGCATCCTGTTGTTTGGCCTGAGAGCTACCTGCAAAGAGGACCAACTCCTGCCCTCTGCTAAGTAGCCATCAGTGTTGACTGGAGCCAGCCAGGACAACTTTTGGAGAAAGTTGAGGTTTGCCGTAGAGCTTGGCAGCAAGGTCGGCATAGAAGGGAGGGCTTCACATTGAAAAGACACTTATTATTATTTCGCCACTGCAAAACCTGAAGGGGTAATTTCTTAGCTGGGCATAGACACGTTTTTCCAGATGATCAGGACTAAGACCCCCCATACTCAAACTTCACTGGAACCGAGGCCCAAATGTCAAGAAAGTGTACACTTGTCATTTTCTTTTTTCCTTTTTATACAATATAGCAATCAACTCAACTTTGTAGTGTTTTTTATGTTTCAGGAACAATTGTCAGAAATTACTTTATTGAAAGTGATCTGCTGCATCTGAAAGAAGTCAGTGAGGTTGTCTTCACCACTATGTGTTACTTTCAAATTGTATTCCTCTGAAGAAAAAAGATCCATCTGATTTTTGCTGTTCAGTTTTACACGAACTGATACAATTAATGACTCTCATTCTAGTTGTTGTTTTTATAACTTAGAAGTTGACTCAAATGGAAGTCCTAAAGTGTCATTTCTGTTGTGATTGTATCATTTTTATGGGATGATTATTCAGGAATTCTATTTCGCCATATTTTTGCATGTTTTACCTTATAAAAATGATTTTAAAGTGATTATATGTTAGCATTGTCTACTTCCTAGTCTTTCAGAACAGTCAAAATAAAAAAAATCCAGTCAGGTGCGGTGGCTCACACCTGTAATCTCAGCACTTTGGGAGGAGGAGGTGAGAGAATTGCCTGAGCTCAGGGCTTCGAGACCAGCCTGAGCAATATGGCGAGGCGTCACTACAGTAAATCAAAAAATTAGCCAGGAGTGGTGACGCACACCTGTAGTTCCAGCTACTTGGAAGGCTGAGGCAGAAGGATCTCCTGAGTCCTTTAGGTTGAGGCTGTGGTGGCCGTGAGCCACTGCATTCCAGCCTGGCCACAGCCTGGGCCACAGAGTGAGACGCCGACTCAAATAAATAAAATAAATAAATAAATACATACATACATACATAAATAAATGTCCAATTGTCAAATTGCCAAGCATTCCTTTTCTTAAATCTGAATGGTAGGGAGTGGGGCTCAGAGTCTCAGCCCCCTTCATCTTTGCCCCCAAGTCTTTGAACCCACAGCTGCAAAGAGGCACTAGCCCCAAGGCCAACGTCTCTAGCCCCAGACAGGGAGTTGCAGGAAGGTGTCTGAGGTTTGCTGCTGACTCATTCTCCACCGCCTCCCCCAGCCAAGAGAAATCGCCTGGAGTAACGAAGCAAGCAAGTAGCTGCGAACAATAACATGAAGGTTTATTATCAAATGACTGCTCAGGAGAGGACATGAAGCGGCACAGCATGGGGGAGGGGAGCAAGGAAGGGGCAAGCACCCTCGCTGTGGTGGGTGGAGCAGGGCAGTGGCCGTGGTCACGCCAGGGGGATAACTGGAGCTGTGGAAGAGCCACTCTTCCCCAGTCGGGTTCTTCTTCCAGGAGTCAGATGCAGGCAGGCCCCGTGCCGAGGGAGTGCCAGGCACGAGTTATCAGGACAGGCAAGGCTCGATCTCACTCACTCCCAACAGCTTCTTCTGGTCTGTTTTCTAAGGGAAGGGGAGGGGCAAGACAACCCTGATTTTGAGAGAGAAGGCAGATGCTCTCCTCCAGGGCAACTCAGTTGTAGAGTTGCCAGATCCAACACAAGTCATGTGGTACCTGATGCAAAGAGCCCCAAAGGCCTAGCATGAAGATAGACTTCCCTAGCTTCCTGGGGTCTTTGGCTTAGGCGCCACTCCGTGGGGGACAGGGGCTCTCTGGGCTGGGCCACCACTGGGATATGGGGAATAGGCATGATGCTACTTGAGACTTGTGTAGTGGGCCCTCTTCTCCTCTCTAAACCATGCATGCTCCATTCCTGTCCCCTCTGAACAGCTCTTCTGCCCCAAACACACAGGCACACACTTTAGGGACTCACCTCCTCAGTTAGGAATCTTCTCCAGCAGTAAAGCCACAGAGGGACCAGAGATGCCAGAAGCATCAGAATCCAGATACCCATAAGCATGATCGTAAGGCTGATGGTCAGGGCCTGGGGACAGAGGGCCAGGGCTGTAGGCACCAGGGTGATGGTTGTCTTTCTGCTCTGTCCCCAGACTTCTCACTTCATCCCCTCGTCCCCAGGTTTGTGGCTTCTGGGGTGGGGGGAAGTCAATGTGTCCTGTGTGCCCAATGTAGCCAGAAACTCCTTTCCTGGGGCCTGTGTCCTCATTTGTACAGTGATGGTCTTGAGCTACGATCTGATTCCCTGATAATCTCCAAGATTGGATTGGATCAAGGGAGAACACGCATTTAAAACCATTGCAGCACTTTGCACATTTGTAATATTGGTTCATTTGTCATTATTTTAATGCTTATTTTTCCTGCTAGCCCGTAACACTCACAGGCTACTTCTCTTTTGTTCAATGCTTTACCTTTGGTGACAGGACTACTTCTCTTTTGTTCTGCTTTACCTTTGGTGACAACAGTCAAGCCTGTTGCATAATAGACAACACCTATTTCTGGTGGAAAGCCTGGCTCTCCCTACCTATCACCTGCTGTTGGTGCTTCCCCTTGGCCACCTACCATCAGCATGTCCAGGTAGGAGTTGCATAGGTGTAGCCTTCTGGCTTCTTCTGGACTCACAGTGCTGGGGAGTGGGGTGTACCAGTCCCCCGAGGAGGACAAACGGCAGCTATCATAGTCATAATAGAAGCCGTCATATAACGAATTAGCCCCAAATACGATGGCAGCAATGGCCGTAGAGAAAGCTAACAGTGCCAGCAGGATCCTCAGCAGGGCCTGGGGAGAGAGGCAGAGAGAAACATCAGTGATTCAGTCTCTCACAGAGCAGCCAGTTATGGAGGCAGAAGCCTGGGGTAGCCTTCAGCCTGAGCCTGGTCCCCTTCCCTTCCCTTCCCTCAACTCACCCAGCAGATTCCACCCCGTTTCTCACAAATGAAGGAAACAGTTCCAGCCAGCACAGCCTGGGGAGAGATTGAACCAGGAGCAGGGTTATTATTTTCTCAATAAAGAATGTGCTGGGAAATGGGAGTCCTCTTCCACCACAGAGCCCTTCCCCAGCACATTCTTAAGTGGGTTTGAAATCTTGCTAAGCTTTGTCCTCTGTGGTAAAGTATCTGTTGAGGGTGTAGAGCCTGGATTACATTCTCGAGGCTGCAGGATGCTCTGATTTACTGACATTGAAAAGCTCTGGGCAGGGAACCAAGAGAGCTGACTATGTGACTCAGGACACGCCACCACCTCCTCTGGCTGCTTTCTCACCTGCACAAGCAGGAAATGTGCCTGGGCCTAGGTAACTGGGGTAATTCCCATTGCTAACATTCTGTAACCCCACGTTGAAGCTGGTGGTGCGAAGGCAACAAGGAGAATAAACTCCTACATCTCTCACAGGAGGTCAACCACTCTCCTGCTCCAGTTACCACGGCCCCTGGTCAAGCCAGATGTAAGCCCATTCTTCCTTCTCCTAAACCTTTTTTAAGTAACACCAAGTGCTTTATGAAAGTTCCAGGGATGGTGGGATCTTGTTGATAGAAGTTGTAGGGTGCTGGAGAAGCTCTCAATATGGGGTGCATCTTTGGGTGCCTCAGGTCTAGAAGCCTATCCCAACAGTGTCCAGCAATCCACCCAGATGGGCTTGGAGAGCAGGAAGTCTAGTATATCCCAAGGGACAGATGGATCCAAATCCTGTCTGACTATTCTGTAACTAACTCAAAGTGTTTTGCCATTGGATGGATGAAAAGGATTATTTTCTCAATAAATATGTGAGTCTTGCTGTTTTTCTGAGTGTGTCGGTGTAAGCCCAAGGGTTCCTCCATCCTACCATGACTAGCCCACCCAGCTCCTATGCAGATGGCACACACACGTCTGTTGATATTAATCCTTGGATTCCCATTGTGTGCAGGACCTGCAGAAGACAATGGGAATAACCAGGAGGTAACCCTTCTTTATGAATCTCATACTGCCTAGCACATTCTGCCTCCCCTATCTCAACACAAGCATCTGGAAGTGAATGGGTCTTTAGATCCTCAGTTGATATTTGCTGAAGGCAGAGAGAGCCTCCCAGCCTGGTGGGAGAACCTGTGGGTAGGGAACTGGGAGAGCTGATGGGTGTGCCTCAGGACAGGCCACCACTGCCCGGGACTGTTTTCTCACCTGCACAACCAGGAAACGGGCCTAGATAACTGTTCCCATTGCTAGCATTCTGCAGCCACTGAAGGTGGCAGTGTGAAGGCAATAAGGAGAGTAACACCCCTGCACCTCTCATGGGAGGTCAACCCTCTTCCTGCTCCACTCACCGCAGCCCCTGTCCAGATGGCAGCTCCTGAGCCCACCACAATGGAGTAAGTGCAGAGGTAGAGGAATCCTCCTAGGACCCAACTAAAGATCCCCAGCACGATCTGTACCACCTGAAAGACAAAGGACTGGAAAACCCGGCTTCCGGATGCCCAGGCACAGAGGTGGCCTTCTGTCCCCAAGACTTAGGGTGGCTCAGACGACCTGCTATTCCAGGTATTAATAGCTAAAATTCCATGACAGAAAGAGAGAAGAGAAGAGAAGAAAAGAGAAGAGGAAGAGGAAGAAGGAGGAGGAGAAGGAGGAAGGAAGGGAAAGACAAAGGGGAGAGAAGAGAGGAGAGCCTGCCCATCAAGAGTCTGGCAGAGTGGAGAGAATGGACTGAGGGCTCCAGCAGTTGGGGTTTTGCTTGGTCAGTGGCTCCTCCACACCACTTCAGCCCAGAGCCTACCCTACCCAGATTCTCACTGAGAAGGCCAGAGAAGCTGATTCCCGAGTAAGAAGATACAAGTGGCTAGATGTCCTACTCAGAGTGTGGGGTGGCAAGAAAAGGGCTCTTCCCTTGGCCTGCTGCAGGGAGACTCGGGTGTCTCTCTTGTGGCCCCATGAGGCAGGCAGCCACACTCACCCATGAGGCCACCAGCAGGCGGTTGCTGCCCCTGGGCTGGGTGGCTGAGGGTTGTAGGGCAGAGCACCAGGTCAACAGGAGCTTGGCTAGGGCCGACTCCTGGTGGATGTGCACGTTGATGTGGGTGGGCTGTGGAGCCTCTGGGGCCAGTTCACCACTATCAGCTGTCCCCATGGTCAAGGACACCATCTGTGAGGAAGAAAGCATCAGTGAGGAAGAGCTGGCAGGTTTTCACAGATTTCATTGGAGTTGGGGAGGTCAGAGGCTAGTGGGGCACAGGGATACCAAATGGCTGCCCTGGTCACAGTGCCCTCCGGAGGGATTAAGACAAGCTGAACTTGCTGGGGCTGCAGCAAGTGCTGAACCCACTGGAACCTTCTCTTTTGCTCCAGATCTGCTCTGTCCCCTCATTCTCCTCCCGGGGCCCTGGCATCTGGGTCAAACAGCGCCTGGCACCCCCACCTTTCATCCTCTCTGCTGACTCACTGGGTTTGGCAGACAGTGGAAGCTCTTCCTTGGGCCTCTGCTCCAGAGCCCTCGGGCTCCGGAAAGGAACCCCCAGCCCAGGCTGCCTGTTGAGCTCCTACGGCAGCTGGACGCCAGAACCACCCCCACCCCAAGACTCCCGCTCCACCAGTGACTACTCCGCCCACACAGTCTGTTCAAGCTGTCCCCCACCCCAGGAAGGACTGCACGGTGGTGCAGGTGGAGGTCAAAGGGCAGGAATGCACCTGGCCTCTCCTCAGGCCCTTTTCTTGAAGTCACATTCCTGGTTGGGGTCCCTCATCCCTCACCGGCCAGCCGTGAGGAAGCAGGCTGGGGCCGTGGCGGGCCCTGGGGAGGGTCCTCTATGTTAGGATCTCCCGGGAAGGGGCTGCCTGGTGTGGGGTGCGCCTCACCTGCCTCCTTGGGGACCGCAGCGAGAGTAGCCGGAGGGCTGCGAGAGCTGGCCAGAGCCAAGACCTGGCAGCGGCGGCGGCGGGAGGGGGAAGTTAGAGACAGAGGGGAGGAGGATGGTGGAGGAGGCCAAACTTTGCACAGCAATTTCCCAGCAAACAGCGGGAGGGG